GGGGGAACGAGCTCACGCTTTGGAGTTAAACCTATTTGGGTGAATCCAGACTCTTTCGCTGTAAAGACTTACAATTCTGGACAAATACCTCACCCTTTCTGAGCCTCAGTTTTCTCAGCCGTAAGAGAGGACTTATCTCATATGGCAGATGAAGAAAGATTAAATAAGACCTACGCAGGGTGTTAAGGTCATTGCTGGTGCCCAGTAAACACTAATTCTCTCAGCCCTGCAACATCAAGAGTCTCTAGCAGGCTCAGCCGTGTTAAAGTGCTGGCAAAAGCCCGCAGCCAAGTCACCTTTGCTTCTTGCACAAGCCCCTCGGGGATAATGGGCACTGTCTGCTTGTGAAATTCCAGCTTTGCTTATTTCTTCTGGGACTACTTCTCCAAGAAACAGGGAGCCAAGGATAGGGGCATATGTGCTTGTACTTGCTAACAGAAATTGCAGAAAACTGACCCCACTTCCTCCCGCTGCCTCCTTCCCAGAATTCCACAGGCTTCTCCATTTCTAAGAGCTTCCAAGAGAAGGATCCTTTACTCTCCCAGATTCCCCATTATCAAGTTAAGCACAAGTGGCTTTCAGTTCCTCCCCTCTCTGGCACACAAGTCCAGGCAGGCCCTATGACATGTTGACCTTGCTCTGAGGAAGCTACTCTGGGCACTGAGATGGGCTAGGATGCCCTTAGTTTCCCGGAAGCAGGAACTGACACAGGTGAGTTTTTGCAGAGAAAGGCAGGGATAAGAATGTTACTCACATAACAAGAGTTATGTGTGACCTGGGTAGCAGCCAGGCTGCACTGACCTCTCCTGTTCCTCTGAGTCCCCACCCTGGGTTTCACTGTGGTTGTCTAATTGTTTCATGATGATAATTGAAAACACACTGAGAGCTGGATTCTTGTCTTATAAGGCTAGCCTGTGCCTGTCCACCCTGCCTTGCCAAAGGCACAGCAGGAGGCTGGAACAAAGAGCACCCAAATGGGAGATGGAAGGATAGAGAGAAGATCATATGGAGGGGTGGGGCCAGAGGGCAGGTGAGGGTGGGCCCCAGGGGCCAGGAGGAATAGTGGAAGGAGGGGAGGCCTAAGAGAGGACAGAAGGGTCCAGGGATGAGGACCTTTGTGGAGGGGTGGACTAACCTGGGGGATGAGGATGAGAGACAAGACAGGATGGGGGCAGGCTGTGGCAAAGTGACTTCTGTGGATATGGTGGGGGCCCTTCCCAGGGATGGGGAGGCTAAGGAGCTGAAGGGACCTCACTTAATATCTCAGAGACAGTGTAAACGCCTTTGAGGGCCATGGTGCATAGGAGCCAGTATGAGGAAGAGAAAAGGGAAGGTCTGGGCCTAACCACCTCACTTTGATTTATAAATTGGGCTCCTCATTCCCTATGCTTAAATCTCCACCCCACTGTCACATCACCCAGAGGGACCATCAAGAGCCAATGGGAAATGCTCCTCAGTGACTTGTCCCGAAATCTGGAATCTGAGACCCCTCGGTCCAGACCCGCTTCCATCACCTTCCTGTTTCTTGTCGGCCAGTTGGTCAGAGCTCACATCTGTGGGGACGACCTGGGATCAAAGGCTTCGCAGTCAGCCTCATTTCAGAACCCATAACTCTTGGGCGGTTGCTCTAGAAAGAGGAATCCCACTTCAGGTGTGATATGCATCTCACTGTCACAGTGTGGGTTCTCCTCTGTGAGGTTCTATGTAGAGGGCTGGGCCACTCAGGCTGGGCCACTCAGGCTGGGCTGCTTGGCATTCACACCCCTTCTCTGTGGCTGTTCCTCTCCATTCCTTGAGTCGTCAGTAACCATTGCTCTTACCCTCCTTGCTGGCAGGGTAGGGAAGTTTCTGGTGATGGGAACAGCTGCATAAGCACCTGGGAAGGGGTGGGGCCTCTGTGCCAGGGCTGCTCCTAGCTTAGAAGTGTAGGACACAAGGGCCAGAACAGGCCTCAGAGACTGGAAAATATAACCCCTGTACATTTGCTTGTACAGGCCTGGGCTCTCTCTGTGGTTACCCAAGAACTGGGTAGCACTGGCTGCCTCTGAGTTGGGGAAGGGGCACTCGAGGGCAGGGACAGGAGGGGACTTTTCACTGTATACCTTTCTATACCTTTGGATTTTTTGACACACAAATATGTTACCTTTTAAAAATATAAATAAAAATGCAAATAAAAAAATCTCTTCTCCATCCCTCCCTGGGCTCCTTCGGGAGATTAACCACATTTTGGGAATCGGCAAAACCAGAGGGAGTTGGGGCTGCATCTCGGAGTCCCACCAGGGCTACCCTCAGGCAAGCTGGCACCTCCTTCCCAGTTCAGGCACATTCTTTCTTTCTCTGTGCCTGCTGTTGGTTTCATGGTCCCCCCATGCCAGTGGTAACACCACAGTAGTCCCGCTCTAGCCCCTCCTCCCTTTCCACAGGTCTCCAGTCTGTTGACTGCCTCCTATCATCTCTCCCCAGCCCACATCTCCACTGCCATCACATCCTGGATAGAGTTGGTGAGGGGCAGAGGCTGCTGCCTATATCCTCCCCATATCTAAGTCCCAGTGAGCTTCCTAAAACTCAAGTCCTGCTTAAGTGCTCTGACCACATCCTCTGGGATGCCTTTTTCCATTTTTGTGCATGACACCCCCTTGGGTGTGCTTTCAAGGTTGACACATTTGGCTTTTCTTGGAGGATTGCCCTTGGCCTAATGAAGCTGCTTTACCCCTGGCCACAGTATAACATGTGAAGGTCCCAGGCTGGGGCTACCCTGAGGCCTTACACTCCAGAACTGTTTGGGAGGCTAGCTTGCTTCTTCTACCCCACCACCCACCTATTGGCCTCCCTGGGAGCCCTTCCTTAATAGTATGTCACTCAGCATATACGATGAACCTTCAGTAGAAACCTATTGCCTACATTTAAGTTTCAATCATCTATCTTTACTCATCTTTCTCTCTGGAAATCTATTTCATCACATCTACATTTAAGCTACACCAAACCTCTAGTTGTTCTGCCACACTTTGATATCTTTGTAGCTGCTTTTTTTTTTTTTTTTAATTAAAAAAAATTAAACCTCCTCTCTCCTCGTCTTACCTCATTCTTTAAGTCTCTGGGCAATATCACCTCCTTCCATTTTCTAATGGAGCTAGTTGCTTCCTCCTGTATTTTCAGGGTAAACTTCCTATAGGACTCATCTTACCAAATTTAACTGGTCTCCCCTGATACCTAGCATGGTGCTGGGCACAGAGTAGGCATTAAATAAGTGTTTTTGGATAAGTATCGATCCCCCAAATGTCCTAAGACTCTCTACCGTTGGGCTTCTCAGTCTTGAATCTCTTCTGCCTCCGATCAAAATTCACTGTTCCTGCTTCTTTCTCTCAGAGCTCTGTACTGTATTGCTTATGCTGCTAAGATTAATTAAATCTTGTTGGAGGGAAGCAGACTGTAAAGAACACTGTTCCTTCTGGTTTCTTGGGACACCAGAAACTCAAGGCCTAACCCTGTGTGGTGTGGACTCTTGGAGGCCCGGCTTGCTTACTTCTTTTACTAAATGGAAGGTCTAGATGATGTCTAAGATCTTCAAAGTCCTTTGTGGGCAGGGTCCGGTCTGCTGTCTTCTCTGCTCTCTCAAGAAAATTGCCTGGTGCCAGGGATGCTCTTAAATATTTGTTGAGAGAAGGAACTGATAATTTTAATAGCTACTTATTGCTTGGTGCTTTATATATGTTATTTCATTAAATTCCATAAGTGGTGGAGTCAGATTTTCATACAGGTTTGGATGACTCTGAAGCCCATGTTCTTCCCATAATTCTTTGTGGCCTTTAGGAGACAGGGCCATCACCCAAGGATTTGTTCCATTGATGGCTTTTAATGGTGGCTGTGGAAGTCTGGAGGAGATCCTGAGGCCCTCATTCTTCTTCTTATAGAATATAGGCAGCAGCCTCTGCCCCTCACCAACCTTGGGGAATAACAGAAATTTAGGGTAGTGAGTGGAGGGAGGTAAGAGAGTGGTGAGGAAATCTGATCACTGTGATCTAAATGGGAGTTTAGGTACACAGTCTCAGTCATGTGCTGATAAGCCGGCTCTCTAAAAAGAAGCCCTGATTGGTAGTGTTATTTGACTTTCAGTATATACACTCTCACTGGCTGACTCCAAGCAACCAAGAAGCCACTGACCACAGAGTTGGTAGAACTGTGCATAATCAGCTCTCACAAGCCAGTGAGCCATCCCAGTACACCAAGGGAACAGTACCAGGGCTGTCCCCAGAAAGCCACAAGAATATCACAGCTGCTACAGACACTGTGGGAAGCCTTAAGAAGCCTCAGCTCTCTCCTGGCCTTTTTTGAAGACTAGAAATGGTCTCTGCCCCTCTGATTTACAACAGCCATCTCATTACCTCAATGACCATCTAGGCTACTGGCTGGAAGGCTCCCCAAGAGTGGTCCTCAGCTCCTTTTTGAAACACACCCTGTTGCCTTGCCTCCAGAGCAGATAATGCAGCCCTAAAGGGTTCTTACAATTCAGAAAGTAATCCTGGTGGTGTCATCCTGAGAGGAAAGATGAGAGTGTGTCAGTGCCATCAGTTATTCCTCTGCCCCTCACTTGCATTCAGGTAGTACTTTCTTCCCAAATTCCAGGAAATCAACACCAAAGACAGTGCCCTCACTCTATCGAGCCTCACCCAGAGAACAGGCCCAGCTGGAAGGCAGCAGGCATCCCTGAAGTGACGGTGGAATGAGGGGGTGGGAAAGCAGTGTGAGACTGAGGGGTGCCTGCTTTAGGTTGTGGAGGGGCCCTGCTTCTCAGCTGGGGTATGAGAAACAGGCCTTACGGTGAAGGGCAGGTACCCCCAAGATGGGCAACTCTCCAAGGAAGAGCAGGAACAGCTCTGGAGGAAAGGGCCCTTGTCCTAGGAATAGAGCTCCTTGAGAACACAAACATTTTGCATATCTCAGTACTTCTCTCAAGTACTTAACACTTGGCCCAGCATAGAATCAGCACTCAAAAAATGCCCTGAAGGAGAAATGAGACCTTTATTAGTACCCAGAGCATTTTTCGATAGGAAGGCAAAAAGTAAAATGCAGGGGTAAGGAAAACCAAGGCACAAATAAGGATCTACAGGGTCCCCAGGACCTACCCAGGACACGTAGCAGAGTCTTTCTCTTTGAATCAAGGGCAAGGCGGGAAAGGCTGCCTTGTTCCACTAAGACAGGCCCAACCACCCAGGCCAACTGAAAAGACAAGCAGGGTGGTGACATCAGGCCAAGAATGTTAGAACTTGCTAGTGTAGAGAGTCATAACCCACTTGGGCACACGAAGGAAGCCAGGCAAGTAGGAGGCCAGCCAGCCCAGGCTAGAGGCGTGGGAGATAACAGAGCTCAAAGACAAATAGTCCCAGACGGGGCGGCCTGTGGGCAACAAGAAGAGAAGGGGGATTTAGACCCTCATTTCCCACTCCTTGGACACCTCCCCCTTGGCTGAAGACTGAGTAGGATGTGAGGGAGGAAGGAACAGGGAAGAAAGTGAGGGAGGAGGAGTGAGCAGGAAACAGAAGGAAGAGAGCTCTCACCATCCACATCCCGAAGGCCGTAGCGTCGAGCAAGGTCACAGGATGGCAGTACCTTTCCACTCAGGCTCAAGATATTGGGGTCTGTGGGCACATATATAGCTGAGATGGCATAGGACTAGTGCAGGGTGACAAGGTTTGGGCCCAATGGGACTGGGCACCACTGAGACAGGCCCAGGAGCCCAGAATTATTTCTCTCTGTTCCTAGGAGGGTTCCTGGGCCTCTAGCTTCTGGCCACACCTCCTAGGAACTAGTTCCTAAAGTTCCCAAACCTCACACTGGGAATTCTGACCTTTTGGGTCTCCAGAACCCAGAGAAAAGAAGAGTTTATTCTTCAACCACCCCCTGAGCCAGGACCCCAAACTGGCTGCCACCACCCTGCAGATCCTCTAGGCCCTTTCTTGTTACCAGCTGCCCCCAACCTCTTCACCTGTTGCCAAAGCCACCACACATTTTCCGCTCATTTCTGTGGTCTCCGCAGACGAGAACTGAAATTCAAGTTGAAACACAGGAACAGAGAGGTGAAGGATTAATTTCCCAGAGAACTGCCCAAGTCTCTTCCCTGCTTTCAGCTTCTATTCTAGAAGGCCCTCATTACTGCACTTGCAGGACTCAGCATCGTGGAAGGTGCTGGAGCCACTCTTTCTCACAACCGGGTAAGCCTTGTACCCTAGCACCATGACCCACTGCCTTTCTTAAGTGAAAGGATCTGGGGAAGACAACTATGTCTGGACTTTCTAGGTTAGTGCCGTGTGAGGGTCAAGAGCATAGGCTTTAGAGCTGGGCAGCCTTTCCACTTATGGCATCTGTGACCTTGAGTAAGTTTCTTAACCTCTCCGGGTCTCAGTTCTGCTATCTGTAAAATGGAGACACTATCTCCCTTACACAATTAAAGTGCGTAACGTGTGTACAGTGCTGAGCCCCACACCTGCCATGGTAAGCACCTGGGTATTTACTACTTATTGTTGTTAACTGTCTTGACATTGAGGATGGAGAGGATGATTTCTTTGCATTCTTTGAGATCTTCGCTAACTCCTTGCCAACCTGCTTAAGCAGAGAATCTTCAGCATTGTCATTGTTCCTCAAATAGTCCTTCAGCAGTTCTGTTTGCACCAATCCTGGCCAAAGAGACACGTAGCTGACCCCATGACGCCGCAGCTCGAGGGCACAGTCAGCAGCCAACCTGTCGCACTGTAGAGGGACAGGAAGCAGGGTGAGAGCCAGGGTACCTGGCTATGTCACCTTCTTCCTCTGTCCTCCCTGCTCCTGCTGAGGATTTCCCAGTCTCCTGCCCTTCCCAGGCACCCTCTCTCAGCTGTCCACATTCCCCAGTGCACTGCCTATTCTGGCCAGCTGAGAGGTGCCCAGGCAAAGGAGCTGTCCACGGAGGGGAAGTGGAAGAGGTGATGACCAGTTGGCCTTACTACTCTGATCGCTAGGATTTACCTCCTAAGCTGTGGGTACCATCACTGTTCTATAGCTCCCCAACCCCGGTGCCACACCGAGTCCTCACCGCAGCTTTACCGACGCCGTAGGGGACATTGGCTAGATATTTCAGCCCCCCAATGGAGGAGATGACCACGATGAGCCCCCGGCCAGCTGGTACCATCAGCCGTGCCCCATAGACCGAGCACAAGTAGTGGCCTCTAGAAGGTAGGGCAAGGAAGGAATGGACCGCATTCAGTGCTGGCCTGGGTGCTGTAGCCTCGGCAGCTTCCTCTGCCCTCTAGCGGCAATAGTCAGTCAGGAGAGGGCGGCATGGTGGCCCTGCAGACCTGGAGAATCAGGGCTGGAGACCACATTCTGAACTGGTAAAATTAACCACCAAAGGATAAGAAATGGCACTCTCTAGAAGATGTTATGGAAGAAAGGAGCTCGTCATAATAAAACAACAAACCTAAAATAGCTTGGGAAAAAAAAAAGAGAAATATATGAGATCTACACGGAAAACTATAAAATTCTAATACAAAAGAACAAGGACAGACATAATTTGTTCAGAAGAATCAACATGTAAAACATCAGTTCTACCTTAATTGATCTATAGATTTAGTCAATTTGAGTTACATCTCAATAAGACTTTTGGAGGATGTGAGAATAGCTATGAATATTCTGAAAAAGGAAGAGCAATATCTTGTGGGCAAGGGGGATATGGAACCCCAACCCTGCCACCCCACCTTAAAATGTACAATGACATAATAGTTAAAATGCAGTACTAGTGTAACAATACACACATAGTTAATGAAACAAAAATAGTTAATAATTAGATCCAAATGTAAATGATAATTCAGTGAATTATAATGGGTACATTTCAAATCAACAGGAAAAGAGGGACCATTCAGTAAATAGACTTGGGACAACTGGCCTGTTATTCGGTTAGTGGGATTAGCTCTCTACCTCACTTATTATTTCAAAATGCATTCCAAAAGGATATAATATTTGAATATAAAAAATGCACAAAAGCACTAAAAGAAAACTATGACAATGTATTCACAAACTTGAGGTGGGGAGGGCTAGTCTTAGCAACACACCAAAATAGAAACCATTAAAAGACTGACGGATTTGACATATGTATATATCAATGTACAAATACATACATCTATAGATGTTTATGTATATAGACAGAGCCGGGGAGAACGTGCATGCAAAAAATGAATAATAAATTGGGAAAAATATTTGTAAAACATATAACAAAGGAATCCATCGCACAAAGATCTCTTATAAATTGATGTGAAAAGAATAACAATAACACAACTTGCAAAAGACTAAAGAGCCAATAAATGAATAAATAAAAAGCTCAACTTCACAAATAAGAAAGAAGTATGAATTAAAACCACCTTCAGATATCTATGGCCTGTCAGAGTGGCAAAGCTTGCCTGACTGAGTGGCCTGATATTGTGTAGCACAGTTGAGGACATGGGGAAACAGATATCTCCCTCGCTGTCACGAGTTTATAAATCGGTGGGGTCTTTTTGGAGGACAGTTTGATAATGTTTATTAAATCTTTAAGAAGTACATATTTTTTCCAAGAATTCCACTACTGCAATAGATAAGGAATTAGATAAATATATTATGGTACCTCTCTCAAGCCAAATATTTAAAAGAATGGTAAAATGTATATTAGACTATCAATAGTTGCTATATTTCGGTCAAGGGAGGAAGGAGTAGCAATGAGGGGAATAAAATCATATTGATTTTCACATTTTTTCATAATACACACAGACTTGGTAACCAGAAAAATATTTTCTTTTGCACGGGAAACAGGACCCTCCAAATGAAAACAAGTAGAGTTACAGCTTCAAAAGGAAGCCCCACCTAAGATAATGCAGAGGAAAGGCACAGTAAATGTGTATGTGAATGTGTGTGGGGGAAGTGAGAGGAGGTATTGGTGAGCTTCCAAGAGGCTCATAAAGTGGCATTTACCTCTGAGAATTCATCGGGGCTCAGGGGCCAGGGTCTGGGCCATTGCCTCACAGGCTCAAAACCCTGACCAACAAGAGATGAGTGTGAAAGGCTCCTCTCTCTGGAGGTCTAAGGATATGGGCCCTGCCTATTTCCAGTTGTTTGGGTTTTCTTTTCTTGCTTCTTGGCTAACCATTCCCCTCTTTCCTCACAGTCTTTCTTCCACTTTGGAAATCACAATTGGATTCTAATCATGCTTTCTTGGGATTGCCACTAGAAGCTATGAGTACTCTTTAGTCACGGATTTGTAGATAATATCTTGGTTACTCCCACAGGTGTCTGATCACATCCAAGGAGTGTAGTTTCTGAGAGTGTACCATAGTTCCAATAATAATAGACACAGATGAAACTAGTGCATATCATGCTGGGAGAACTCTAAGTGCTGTGTTTCGTCTCACTCCTGTGCCAGATGTACATGTAACCTTGTGACATCCCTGCCCTCCTAACTCTGACCTGGGAGTGCTTGGCCTTTGGGTCTGGAGCAAGGATGTGGAAGCTAAGATGACAGGCATGCACTGTTTTTTATTGACCTTTTGATCTAAAACAATTTCTTCCTCTAATCATTTTTGGAAATATCAGCTATGGGGGGGTGTGCATTACTGAGGGGAGGAGGTTCCCTTCTAGGTCATGCATTTGGATGGGCAGAGAGTGAGGTGGGAGAGAGGCCAAGGGAAAGGTCAGATGAAAATTACTGACAGAAACAAGACAAAAGTTGACGTTCCCGTTATAGATTCATCTGTATGGAACTTTTCCAGAGGTAAAAGGGGCACATGGGATAGAAGGGAGAAGAAAGAGATGGCGGGTCATAGAGAAAAAGAAAGGACATATGGGGAAAGATCTGGGCCCTCAGCCTGGCTAAGTGAGTGATGGGAGCCCAGGTCCCTCCAGCAGGGCAAGGGGAACACGCACCTGAGTCCAACATTGTTGATATCATCCCAGAAGGAGGCAGGTGTTTCCCAGAATGCTTTATTAATGTTGTTCAGGACTGCCTGGAAAGCACAGGTATAGTAATGAATTGGATGGTCTGAAAGCTGGAAGGTATGAGAGGCTGGATAATGGAAGGGACAATGAGCAGGGATGAGGACTCAGTGGTCAGAAGGGGAGGTCAGGAGTGTGGAGCTGGGATCAAAGTTCTAAGAATACCTGGACCCCTGCATAGGCATTGTTGACCAGCACATCCAGACGCCCCTGTTCTCGAGCCACCTGCTCAAAGAGGCTTCGCACTTCACTCTCCTGGCTTGAATCGCACACCACAGGTATACACCGCCCCCCTCGGGATTGTGCCTGGAGAGGGACAGACGGGATATTAGCTCACAGTTGCACATGAGTGTAAGACATAATGCAGGCCCTCTATACCCAGATTGGGAGGCGAGAAGGCCATCAGAAGAATCAAAGTTGGCTGAGGAAACATGGTTGGCAATACCTCCCTCTGATGTCTGTGTGAGGAACTGGAGAAGTGCTAGATCCTCCCATTAAAGAGCAAGGTGGATTGGGAATCTCAGGTTTAAAATATACAAACATTTACTGAAGCCTACCATATGCAAGGCATTGTACTACACGTGGGGAGTAAGGGACAAATAAGGCATAGAGGCTGATCTTTTTTCCTTGTCCTTGGTCACTTCCATCTCACATGCCCTTAACTCCCACCCTTCACCACTCATGTGGAACACCTACTCAATCCCAGCCCTCTTACCCTTACTCCAACTGTGCTCTTGCCTGGTAATGAAATCAAAGCTCTCAGGCATGAACTATTTTTACTTTCCATTTTGCCTCGGCCTCTACAAATGTGCCCTATCCTCTAACTTCAGAGGAAGAGTAACTTACTCAACAACAAGCCTATTCTCCAGCTCCATTCTCTAGTCCCACCCTCTTACTTCCTTGCCTCCTAACTTCTCATCTGACCTTCAGTCTTTTTGCCTTAATTATTCATATTCTATCCAGTATGTATTGTTTAAAATCTTCCAATAGGATCACCATCTTTTAGAGAATAAAGCCAAAGTTCTCCACCAGGGTCTTCAAAGACCCATTCTCTTTTTCCTCTCCAGTCTCTCACTCCTGTCTCATACCTATATGCTCTGGAATTCTCACAATACACACTCTTT